AATATATAAAAAGTTGTGAGATCCATGTAATACCAAGTCTGTTAATTTATTCAGTTCCTACTTAAGGGTCCTTCTATTTTAAGTTATTACGTAATTAGCTAACCTAACAACATTTTATAGTGGCCAGTACCTTTCAATGTTAAAAATTCTTTTATGCTTTTACTTAATATATAGATTCCGTGACTTGGCAGTATCGCACTAACTTGCAATTCTAATTTTTAATACTAATATGTATTACTTTTGAGATACATTGTATTTTTTCGTATGCGATAGCTATTTATTAGGAAACATAAAAGATTTTTAGCATTGATACTGGTCACTATAAAATGTTGTGAAAACTGGTTACCTAATTACGTAATGTATTACTTAAAACAGAAGGACCCACCAACCAAACCCAAAGTAGGGACTGAATAAATTAATCGACTTGGTATTACATGGATCTCCAACGTTTTAGCTTTTTACGGTAGAAAAACTGAGTTGCGAGTTTTGGTTTTTTTGCAAGTTATGTTTTTGATGGCATTAGATTATATTCGCTAAAATTAACTCTGTAAGTCTTAAAATCGAACTTTGGAATGGGTCACGTATTTGTAAATGGGTAACCACATTTTATAACTAAGCTAAATTTCAATCATCTACGAGATACTCTTTTACAGAAAAACCACTATGAGAGATGTATAGGAACGACGTGGTTCTTTAAATATTTTGTTTTGCTGAATTTGGGGTGGAAAACTGAAAAAAGATGTCAGCACTCTGTGAGTTCCTTTACGATTTGGTTCGAATACCAAAGTCACACGGTCGTCAACTTAGTAAATATAGGGTTATTTTGATATAATCGGCCATATTTGTAGAGAAGGTTCAAAATAAATAATATAGGAAAATGGTAAAGAAAAATTAATTAAAAAAATCTCAAACATTTCAATATTTTTATGTTTTATATTAAAAATGCGTGATAATACATTACTTTAATTAATTTTATTGCTCATGCACACATTCGTAAGGGTCGATCGATAGGCAAAATCGTTGTTGGCCATAAATTACATTCAATTTGGGGTAATTTCAAATAAAAGTAAAAGCCTTATTCACTGTGTAACACTTCCCCCCTCTCACATAATAATAAATATATTAAATATTAAATATAATTAATATATAATAAATTTACCCTTTTTCAATAAAACTATATATTTGCGACCAGGATAAATAAAATATGTTTTGACCTTTCTAAATGATCTTTCTAAAGGTTTAATAATAGGCCGTTTGTAATATTTTGGCGTGATCGTCTTAGTTAGGACCCTTATTTACGTTGTGTTTGTTTAGTAACTTAGTTCTTTTAGGTGTCTTTTGGAAGAATGAATATTCACTAGAGCAATTGAAAGCTGTTGGTAGTGCCTTATAAGCTAAGTGAACCCCGTTCACGAAGACAGGGCTCGAGAAAGGTTAAGAACTTAAAACGTCCCTATTCCACTTGTATCACTGGTTAACTTTATTAATTTATTACTATTTATCCCTTCCCGCTCGGAAAAGGCTCAAAATATATTTATACAAAATACCCGATACAAGGGCTTCGCTCTCCTACATTTATTTAAAAAAAATGTAGGTGCGGCACACGGCCCCACACACGCCGTGCACGGTGAACGCCAACCATTTTGATGCACTCCTCCCGAAGGGAACGCTAATTCGGGAACTGGACCGTAGTCCACAGCAAAATAACTGGCTAACCAGTAAAAGAGGCTTGGCCCCTTGTTAGTGCGTAAGCACAAACAACGACCGAAGTCGCGCATGTCAATGCGTGTAAACGCCATACAGAATACGAACAAATCCAGCCACAGTGAATGTACGTCACACGGTTTAGGCAAATAGGCACACTGGCCGTAAACCCTCCGTGAGCGCCACCACCTGCCAGACCGCCGCTCCTGCAGACGTGTATGGCATCACCACCAATTGCATGATCAGCACGGCTACTAGCCGCAGAGCGTGTCATGAGTCTACCGCTCACCTCAAGGGAATGGGGTCCCACGTTGTGCGGCTTTCGGCCGCAGCCTTGAGAGTCTCCTCAGATCCTCCCGCCAGCTACCGCCCGCAGGAGGTCGACACAGATGCTCCTCCAACCAATACAACGGAAGATATAGCCAAAAAGCAGTTATAATATAAGAGTAATAATTCGCCATCAGAAAGAGTTTGTGTCACTGACGTTGAGTAAATGCATTTTCGATCATGTTTGTCTCACCCACCGACAAGTTGTCTTCAATCATTCAAAGGAATCATTCAAAAAAAATATATAAAACATCATGGAGGGCAGAAAGTCTGCAGCCCCGTAATGAAGGGACCCGACTTGAGCAAAGCTACTTAGGTGTGAGTCAAACCAAGACGCAGAGAGCGCCATTGAGAATAGCGTTCCACCAAACAACCATCGCAAAGACGCAACGCTGCAGAACGCAACAAGCATCAATACGACTATCGTCGGGATTACACCATCCCAAGGTCCCCCATACATCCCAGCAGACATCACCACCTGCATATCTCCATAAGAGTGCGTCGAATCAGGCGCAGCACACCCGCAGATCCATTACAAGACACAATACCGCAAGTAGCAGTAAGCATCAATGCAACTATCATACGGATGGCACCCCCTCACAACACACACATGATTCCTATCGACTTTGGTAACAAAGTTTTTATTGTTGTTAACTAAAAATATCACAAACGTATCATAGTAGCACGCTACTAAGACGCCAATGAACAAAACTCCACGTATCATAGCGCTAATGCACTAAGACATGAAGTTGAGTATGCCTGTTACACTTAAAAGTGCTACCAAACACACTCATCATCCTAATGCGATATATAGACGACGCATCGCTATGCGCTACTACGTCGCCCACAAACGGTATGGGTGTGCGATGTCCACGGGAAAGCCGTATTGCTACAACAAACCCGTTTACCACCAGCACTAAGATGATATGTCTAGGACACATCGGTTAGCGAGTCCAAGTTTACCTCGGACCAATTGCTCGTGAAGCAGCACATACGCCACCATAATATTCCTTTTCAAGTCCCTAATAAGGACTAGTCATTTTGCTACAGTACTAGGAGCAGTCGGTCACCCGACCACCCCATACAATGCTTATGCATCAAGGAGACCTTCAATAATAATGCTTTTGTATCATAGACCTTACTTTCATAAGTCATTAATATATATAGGGTTCGAACCCACGACCCTACTATAGTAATGCATATTCATCATAGAGACCTTCTATAGTATTGCTTTTGTATCATTGAGTTTATTATCATAAATACCCTATATATAGGACTAGTCATTGTGCTACAGTACTTCAGGCAGTCGGGCTCCCAACTACCCCATATATATGTACAAATGCAGGTATGTATGTCCGGCAGCTCCTCTATATAGGACATCTATACATGAACACCTTCCATAACTTAGGAAAATTTTCTTTTATACGTGAACTCCTTCCACAAATTTTTAACAAATTTTCTAATTATCTTATAAACGTTATTTATCTTTAATAATATTTTCGACTTGTATTTCTATTGTTTATCACGTTTTAAATATTTATTATAAATTATTTATAAAGTTTTTATAATAAATTTATTTATTATGAAAAGATCCTTGTATTTGTGCCTTTAATTTACTATGTTATTGGTCTAATGTCTGAAATATATTTATATTAACTTTATGTTTATTAATGTAATTTTATTGCTTAATATATATATTTTAAGACTATTTTTGATGCCCCTTTATATTGAATTTAATTATTAATAATAATATTGGGCCGTAACAACTGGTATTTTAAAAACGGCAATAACGGTATATCCTTTGAACTTAAGTTTTTTTTATAGGATAGGGTGACAATCGAGTACACAGTTCACCTAATGGTAAGTGGTTACTGTGGTCCATAGGCATTTACACCTATCCTCAATTACGAATCAAAATGCAGATGCGTTGTCACCCGTGAGGACTTAGATGGAATGCCTCGTTTCCAGTAAAAAGGGTCTCCGGTTCTCTACATTCAACATACGGCACACAGCGGCATTAAGCTACTATTTGACGCTAATATTCTGTGAGAGTCTGGTCCTTCCCCGGTCGAGCCGACCGAATATAACTGCAGCATGGCTCTACCACGTATAATTTGGCTTATCTTTAAAAATTAACCTTGTATAGATATATCGTTTCAGAGCTGGAATTCTTCTATATAAGGTACTCACAGAAATCTAAATAATAAGGCAATATTATTTAGATTTCTGTGAAGGTACTAGTAGTACTAGAACAGTGAAAGGGAAATTTTTTTGAGATATTTTTCAAATTTTATTCATTATTTTTTAGTATTAGCTCGTGGTTCACAAGTCAATTTCTTCAATGTTTTTTTAATAAATTCGTCGTTACACATAATATAAAAGTACCCAGATGACCGAGATTTGCTCGGTTTTTTTTTTGAAATTACATTTAGATACGAGTACAAATTTCAAAGGGTTATTCAAAAAGCCTCGTGGGTCAGTGACAATCTCCGGGGCATAAGTTTGCTATGGAGTATTGATTATGACTATAACTTTGTATAGCAGCAGTACTTATTGATGATTTTCAATTATAAATAATAACTATGAAACAAATACAAATAAATTTCAATATTTCTGTCCATATCGATTAAATTATTATATTTGTGTAGTAACGTAAGTAATATGTAAATATACCCAAACGAGTTTATTTTTAAAAATAAATTTTTCACAATGCTCTGTTGTTTTAGTTTTTTCATATGCAAACATATTGAAATTGCGCGCCTTTGAACCAAAAAGTATATCATTACTAGATTTTATTTTAAACTTTGGTTTTATTATTTTGACATTTTTGACAATTTGTAAATAAGTCTGTATATCCTCTTTATACTATTTGTTAATGTTAATGTGATCTCAATGTAATGTAAAAAACAACACTTATTATTTATTATAATCTACATACTAAACTTCGTGAATATAAAGAAAAATAAATAATGGCTGATGACGATGATGAAGGAGAGTTTGGTGGCTTGTATGAAGGCGGACATTGGGTTTGGGATGATACTGTGCAAGCTTTGATTTTCGTAAGGTTGAATATTGCTATAATAAATAAAATATATTTTTTTGAACTTTATATAACTGACCGCTTATTCAACGTGTAGTGGCGGTGCAAGGACATCTACTATCTTATATATTACTAGCGTAAGGACCGAGCTGACCGAACAACTAAAACAGACTAGTGCACTGGCCCTAAAATTACAGTTTAGGGCCAACGCGAATTGGTCAACAGTGGTGCGCGCGCAGGACAGATTTGCCTGTCACATATATGTCTAGTTGCGTGGTAAAAGAATGCAAAAATTACGATACAAACGTTTAAAAAAAATGGGATATCGTATCATCGGTAAATAACCCTATATTAATTTTGTTACAATTATATTATTATATAAACGCGTTTTTAAAGTTTTATTATGCAGTTAGTTTAGTTACATTACCAAGATTAGGCCTGGGTTGGATTCAGACCCTCAAAAATATTGTACATGGAAAATAAAATAATATGTACTATTAAAAAAAATATATATTATATATAATATATATTCATAGATTTTGAAAGGAGTACAAAAGAAACCATATCTTAACCTATCTGCTTAATTGAATCTGAAAATCTGATTCATAAAATATATTGAAATTCTGTTTTCAAACCGATTGGTTCTGGAGCATAGAGTTTTTATCGGGGTAGCCCCTGATAGTTGAGTCAAGGAAGCAACATACTCATAAATGCATCGATCGAGCATCGATGGACCAGAAAGGGAGTTAATTCTAATTTTATTAAAGAAAAACAAACGCGGCACTCATATACAATACAGAAATTCTCGATATCTTAGGATTAATATTAAACTGTAAAAAGACCCAATAAACACAACAAACAAGCCGATCATTAGATAAAATTATGGTATTTTCGTTTAGTATTATTACGATACTATATACTACAAACTATGGAATAATGGTAGAAGTAGGATAATTATACTACGAAATCCGACCCTGGTTACGTCGTTTTTTTATATGACGTTTGTATTGTGACACATGCGCTATTTTTTCTTGTATGAAAAAGCTATGAGTAAAATATTTAGATGGGCCTGTCCTTCCTTTTGAAATCATTGAACTATCCCATACAATACCGTGGGTGTCGTGTCGCGAGATCGACAGAGATAAATGAAAACGGAGATGAGCAACAAGCAGGGGACCGGGCACCTGAAAAAATCAAAATAATAAAAAAACTGCGGTTGCCAAGCTGCCTTCAAGGCTTGGCAACTATGGCAAACCCCCATATGAGGCAATCTATAGAGGTGGCATATGTTAGGCAGTGAACTTTATTGACTATTATCATCTTTATCAAAGGTTGTACAGATGATATTGATTTATGGCACCCCAAAAGAATACATCCTGTAATTTCAGCCTGTGGATATCATAAGATGCAATTATGGGAAAGGTAAGAAATACTTGACTTCTCCTAGATGGTAATGAGGAGAAGCGTCAAAAGTGCTAGACCTTTAGTACTCCTAATTCCGATCCGCCTACTAATCGTCACGACAACGTACTTCTTTGCAATAGGAGAGACTCTTGTCCGGGAGTAGACTGTAACGGGTTAATAATAGAAGCAATAATAAAGGAATAATAAACGAGTACGTGGGCGACTGAGCTAAACTCGGCGATAGAGAAAAAATATATTTAAAAAAAATTGTAGCTATGAAAGTAAAAATATCAATATATCCTAATTACATACGCGTCATCAACATTGTTCATCTACAATATTACATTGCACGTTTATTATGTACATAGAACAATCCTGCCTCATTGGTCTAGTGGTTGTAGTAGTGCGACTGCTGATCATGAGGTCCTGGGTTCGAATCCCAGGTCGGGCCAAAAAATTAATTAATATTGAGTTTTTAGTTTCAGGAGTCAGGAAGTTGGCGGTGTCATACCCCGGTGCCTCGGAAAGCACGTAAAGACGTTGGTCCTGCGCCTGATCTCCTCCGGTCGTGTCGGTTTACCGTCCCATCGGATTATGAGAGTGAGGGAATAGAGAGTGCACCTGTGCTTGCACATACACTTGGGCACTATAATCCTGTCCTGCGCCGATGGCTAGCCTCCGTTGAGGCAGGCCGCCGTGACTGAAATTCGGTCTGGAGGACATTATTATTATTATTACGTAGAGCAAAATATATTATGTATCATACTTCCTTTCAGCGATCTCCTGCCAAAGGAAGTTGAATTCATACAGATTCCGATCAAGGCACCTACTGGGACAATTGAATTTAGAGACGATGTTGATCTAATTGAGCAGGTGACAAATTACAAGTTTAATACACTATAGGTTGAGCTTTAAAAAAAGTAATAAGTCAAATATTTTATTTTTCTTCTGCGTAAACTTTTGTTAATAATAATAATAATAATAATAAATACTACAATAAAAATAATATCGTGTTTTTTTGGAATCGGTACATATATAATAATAATTTCATTTATTCGCTTAAACATGGTACATTAGAGGTGACAAATATTGGATATTGTATATAGTCCACATGTTTACCACATCTGGCATGCGAAAATTATTAATTAAATGAAAAGACATAGTCATGTACCTACATTGATTAATTTAAAACAAATGAATATAAATTAAAAACGTTAAAACTACAATAATTATTACAAGCAAAGAATTTAAATATGCATTATTCATTATCAAATAAATCATTGTTGATGCTCGTGTGTGAGAATGTTAGTAATGGAGCGGGTTATGCTGGCGGGATGTTAACTGGAGAGCATGCAGTAGCAGTTAGATGAGCAATAAATAACACTTCTTCAGAGTTTTCTTCTATTTATTTTCTTGATGCTTTATTCTTACATTGCCGGATTTGGAATGTTTAACCACAAAAAACGCCTCTTTTTTATAGGCAATTTCGACCAATCAAAATGGTTAAATTTTGCACACGGCACTAACGAATTTGCAAACGGCACTAATGATTTCCGTCGACCAATCAGAGCGCAGAGCAACCTTTTCTAAGGGAAACTTACAAATTTCTTTTATTTTTGTGGTAAATCATCCCTTACAATGTTTTTATGCATTCCTGGTAATAGAAATAGCTTATCTTTATTATTTCAAACATTAATCATTCATAAAAATAAAACCCTTAATTTATACCTATTAAAAATAGTGAAGCGGTCTTCCTACGGTACCTATAGCTCCGTAATAGCTAAGCTTTTTTCCGCATAACATACACGTAGCGCCACCAGGCGGCGGGAATGCACAATGCTTATCGTGATAACATTACGCTTAATCTTAAGATACTATGCAGAATACATTTGAACTTCTTATTAAACTAAATCTGAGATTATACAAGTTGTTAATTGACGTATTGTCGTAGTTTTAAATTACATTAAAAGAGAAAGAATTAAACAAGTAATTAAATTCACACTTAGATGCTAATGTTTCTAATGTAGTTCTTTAGATTATAATAAGAGTAGTTCAATAAGTAACTAGATTCATATTTCGTTTCTAATATTCTAATTAAACTCGAATAAGTAATTAGACTCACATTTCGTTACCGACTTTCGTTACTAACTTTCGTTATGTAATTTTAGATTGCAAATAAGAATTGAAGCTAGTATAAGTAATTAATTCACTTTTTTTGTTATTAACACTATCAGTCTTTACGTAGTTTTTAGATCATAAAGATAAATAATTAAATTCACTTGTCGTCGCTAACAACTTTATTATTCTTAGGAAATACGCAAAATGTTCTTGCTTTTCTTCTTAAACAGTCCAAAAAATCCTTTGGTGAAAATGGGCTATTCCTGTTGTATGGAAGCAAATCGATCGCCACGCTTGAAAAGCGGATAACAATCGCAGTTCCTGACGTCTCGTACTTTGACTCTGATTCTTATGCCGGTTTGGATATTTTACGTTTGACGTAAATATACGAGAAGTTATAAAACGGATGTCGTATCTATCGAAAACTATGGGATAGTTCTGGCAATTTACATAGTCGCCACTTACAACATCCATGGGACGAAATATAGTGATGAATAGTGTATACTCATACTCTCCCACTTCAAATTTCAAATCATGAATGTATTACAATGTGGAATATTTTTGAAAAATACTCGTTAACGTCTGTCTGAGTATTCATAAGAGAGATCATTTCAAATGAAAGATTGAGTACACCGAAAGTTCAATGGGAAAGTTTAAGACTTAGAACAAGTCATTCCTTTTAATTTTTTAATTGTCTTGAAATGTAGCCTGGTCTACAAGCGCGCAAAGGTTTCTTTTCAGTTTTCCTTTCGTTATTAAAAATGATGTTTAAGGAAAATGTTGATGAAAATCCACTCTAGCGAAGTACAGAGAAAAGCTGGTTGCAAATAATTTGGTTTCAGTGCTGCACGGTACACGTACACGGTAACACCGTGTGGTGACCGTGTAAGGATAACCACTACCCCATATCATCCCGTGGGTGTCTTAATAGGCAACAAAAAGGAACAAATCAGCACATGAGCAGCAGTGTCTTCCCAATAACGACTAAAATAAAAAAAATCTGTGTTTGCCAACCCGCTTGCACAGCGTTCCAAATATGATGGCATATATCCCCTCTATAAGGAAATCTATGGGGTAGGTCTGTGTTAAGTAGTGGAATTTTATATGCTGTAACGGTAACGGTTCCACGTGTTATAATACTATAAGTTAAGCACAGTTAATTTGATTTCCATTAAAGTATTTAACAATGCTCGAACAAGATAAAACGATAAGTGTTATTCATGTATATATATATATTATAAATTACTTAGATGCGCTTCAGGCGGCGATACCAAAGGAAATTAAAACCGGGACAAACTGATGCTATAACATTACAGGTAATCTTCTTGATTTCAATATTGTGTTTCGCACTACTTCTATATTCTGGGTGAAACATGCAAATGATTAGGCAGCTATAACCTGCCGCATCCTTGCAGGTATTTTTCTTCCTTGTTCGTTTGGGGAAGTCCCACCTTTCCAAAGTACTAGGCTAGAATAGCGAGTATATAATATATATAATATTTAGATATATGCAGACACAACAACGCACCTACAGCCACTAACTATGGTGGTTGTAAAAATTACGCTAAGCTAAATCTATTTCAGCGTAACGTAATTTTAGATCTGCAACCACAGCGGCCCATTGATAAACAACGATTCGTGAGTTGCGGTAGATATTTTCGATTTGATGGGCTGTAAACTTTTAACTAACTCTTACTGTACCTTCTTGTAAATGAATGGGGAAGCTTTTCTCGCAAAACTACCTCAGAATTATAAACTAGTTGTACAGCGTTGTTGGAATAATTATAGTGAATAGGAGTTAAGGACCTGGCTGCTACGCAGGTAGTACAAATTAGACATTGTCAATCATTCATTTCTAGTGACCGAATTATTCTAGTATATTTCGTCACGCGTACCGGTATATTCCGATCGATCATTCAAATGGATCATTTTGGGCTCCAGTACTCTGTGAGTCTGTGAGATCCACTGGGAACCGAAAATGTTTGTGGCCGTGAAAGGAAAAGGGGAGATCTCCCGCCGGGCAAGGTGTTATGCCCGGGGAGCGGCCAACGCTCCGTGTGATAGTTCGGAGATGTTCTATATATGCTGTTTATGATTCGGAATGTTGATAGCGTGATTTAGGCTTCGGTATGTTTCGCTTGCGGCGCGACGACAGCGCCGCCACATCACCCCCCTGCTCAGACCGGAGGTCGATAGTGCAGTCCGATTGCCGGTGTGTCCTTTTAATGCCGGTGGGGAATGCATGCTGTGTGCGTAAGGGCAAGTGACACCGGTGCGAATAATATGCCGATGTGTAATGCATGCCGTACTACGCACTGGCAAGTGATGCCGGTAAGAACGATGTGCCGGAGCAAGTGCCAGAAGTCTGCCTTATAAATCTGCGGTGAGTCGAGATGAAGACAAGTTGGACTGGCTTGCAGGAACTGAAGACTGCAGAAGACGATTCTCAATAGTGAATGGTAGGGGTTCTTGAGGATAATGACGAAAGCTTGAAGTTGTAGTTTCCGAAGGTGTTTGGTTGCGTGTTCAGATCACGTCGGGGTCACCACTGTGGCCGTGGAAGGAAAAGGGGAGATCTCCCGCCGGGCAAGGTGTTCTGCCCGGGGAGCGGCTCACACTCCGTGTGATAGTTCGGAGATGTTCTATATATGCTGTTTATGATTCGGAATGTTGATAGCGTGATTTAGGCTTCGGTATGTTTCGCTTGCGGCGCGACGACAGCGCCGCCACATGTTCTATTTCAGAATTGGTAATAGCGCCATATATTACATGCTATAGGTAATAGCGCTAGATGGCAAAAACAGAAAACCTCAAGTGATTCAATTGATTTGATCTGATTTTGATTGATAACTTTATTCAATATTATTATATATTATAAATATTTAATAAATTTTATTCTTAAATTTCATTCCTAACAATACACAATTTTATCTTAATTTACATGTCTAAAAATAAGGATTGTAACATTTATTTGCTACAAAATTAAATTTTTGTCTTATACTTATTATAAGGTGGTTGAAAATTATAATATTAAATAAATCATTTGCCATGAAATCTTTGAAGTGTTATTTTTAATAAACTCTACGAAATGATATTTTTAACTCATAGATGTAACAAATAAATATAAAATTTAAAATAATTTTTAATTTAGGTAACAATATTTATAATAAAACCCTTAAATAATAAATACTCCTGATACTCTGCAGATTGCATTGATTATTCGATTCGCCTGTTTATTCAGATCACTCGGGATTCGGTTGGTTTTTGGCTCATTCACAATTTACACCAATCACGAGTTAAAAAGGTTTCGTCAATTGTTTGTGATTGGTTGTATCGGTACATTAAAAAACAAATGAATGAACCATCAATACTTTTAAGTGTACCAGCTCAAACGAACAAATCATGCATGATTGATACATGTCTAGTACAAATACTAGGTAGAGCCGTGTTGCGGACGCGTGGGGCTTAGTTACTCTATTATAATTTATTATATTATGTGTAATTTTAATTGAGCATTTAAAAATACATCGGTCAGGTATAAGTATCAGTGCCTTAATATTATTTTTGGAGATCTTCTGTACACATACGAATTTGTATGTATATGAAAATCTCGATGTTTATATCAATGAAAATTGCTTTAGACATGAATCTATTTACACACTACGAAGATTAACTGTCCCATAGATTTATAAAGTAGCGTAAAAGTATAGGTTTCTAGGATCAATTGTAACCTAAGTATCATCGAAATGGAACAATTAGTTTTAGAGGAGATATTAATAATATTTGCATTGACGAAAATACGCTTCGTCCTAACAAATAAATTTGTTCTAAATTATATTGTTAGATTTTCGGTGTGATGGTGGTAAAAATTCGGTGTTACGAATATCCTAGTGGCTCTTAAAATACGTCTTAGTTTACCACCGATTTTATGACTGAAAATTATGATCGATGAGAGCCTTTAATGACAATGTGGCATCTTATCTTATATTATCTTAGTATCAGAACCGACAATTTGATTTAATATTAAAAGTGTGGCTTTTATTTGTTTATAAAATAAAGCTCATTATTTTTTCGTTACAGTTTGTACTTATCAGAAAGATCCTTTTCTTTGCCTTAAATATTGATGTTTTTACATATTTTACGAAAATTGTAACGTGTTTTATATACAAGATTCATAGGAAAAATAAACTGCATAATATAAAAGTTAACTTTTTAGTAAGGTGTTTTATGACACTAAAATGTTACTGCACGCAGGTTTGCTATCAATAAATTATCATAAAATAAGTCCATAATGTTCATCAAATTTTGTGATTTACAGGATGTAAAGGATATAGCTTTGTACACTGCGCCGGTTAATATATTGAGCCCCATGCTAATAAATTTATTGCATTTACCTACTACTGAAAGATTCATACGAGCGATTATTTTTTACAGCCAGTATTATTTACAGGTAAAAACATTACCTGTACCATTTTACAGAATATAAAAACATTATTTTTGGTTACTTTGCAACTTTAGTTGTTTTAAATATTGCCTTTGGTATTATTTAATATTGGTATTATTTATTAATTATAATAAATTTTAATTTCGTAGATTTCAGATGAAATGGGGAAACGTATTTTAGAACATGACGTCAAAATTCGTACGCCACAAAGTGAGATTTTAGAAAACGAATTTCGGGATAATTTATCCGATTTGCGATTATTAGTTGCAAAGGAATATAGCACAATGCTCATAGGTTTGTCTCAAATTAGCTTTTTTCTCTAATAATATCTTTAACATATTTACTTTGAAGTAAGTAAATAAAAATCTTTACACATTTTGAAGAAATAAAATAATTTTACTAGGTGGTGGTGACACGCGAAAATTTCATCACATGGGTCCACAGAAGAAAAGGAAATCATTATCGGACAAAGATGCACGACTTTTTGAAACCTTGTTGCGAATGTGCGTTCAAATTGTCTGGTTGGCTTTAGGGCGTAAGGCTTTTAACCAGATAGGTTAGTAACTCCATAAATTACATGTTGGTTACCAAAGGGTCCTTGACTTCACATATTTGTTATTTATCGAAAAATCACTGCGATTAGAAGTGTTTTATTTTTATAGAATATTAAAATAGTACTTATAGACAGACACTTTTATGTACATACTTGCTTGCAAATAACATGGAACACAAAATAAAAGCCTTTTCATTTGCACACGATATTTATTTTTTCTATCAAATTTTATCATTACATGTTTTTTATAATTTATCCATTCTTCTTCTTCATTAGGATAACAAAAATAAAAGCCCATGGTCCAAACATTACCATTCTAGTGTGATCGTTACGCTCGCCAGTTAGATTGACAATCTTACTACAGTTCTACTTTTTGTTATTATAAGCAATAACTTGACTCCAATTCCAATATATGTATGAAGATATCTCTAGAGATATCCTCATACATACATACATATGTGAGGAAGGATGAATTTAAAGGAGTAGTAAATGCATGACTTTAGAGCTATGCATATATTATTCCTTCAGGGGAATTGCTTGTGCCTTGCCGGCCTTTAAAAAAGTGGTCTTTTCTTGAATGTCCCCACGTCGTACTCGTATTGGACAGAAAAAATCTCTGGGGGTAGCCGCTTTCATAAAAGACTTGCGCGAGAAAGAAAACATCTGGTAAATAGCACAGTGGTGGACGGTATCATCCAGATGGTATAGATGGTATCATAAATTTTGTTTTTAAGTGCAATGGTGAAATTCAGTTGCTGGAGTTAGTCCAAAACAATTCATTTAAACATTCCATGTGATAAATGCAATAAAATATAGAAAATGATGGAACATTTCTTCGCAGTACCAGTACTATTATTTATTCTATGATACCGGAGAGTAAAGAAGAAAGAGTTCAGTCGTCAAGCAAATAGGCATTTAACTTATAAGCTGTTTGTTTTCCGAAAAAAAAATCGAAATAAAAAAGCAAATTAAACGTTTCCATCTCCGTTTTTTTTAAATTAATGAATAAAATTTCTTTCTGGTCAGAGGAATCATGTTTTGGAAATGTAGTAGATTAAATAAAAAAAAAGAGTTTTAATTTTATGTATCATTATATATTTTATATTTATAATAGGTAATTAGGATTTAAGATTGGTCATACTAATGAATAATTTATTTTTAGAACTTGAAGTAAATCGAATATTTAAGTCGGATATATTCAACGCTGTGGAGCATAATTTACGCACAGGATATTTGTTGAAAATGGCAAAAGAGGAGCGGGAAGCATTGCTAGGTTATTGTATACACCGTGATAAGAAGTTAACTACGCGCTCACCACTATTAAATGAAGTGTTTTGCCATAGAGATATAGATTTTCGCACTCTAGGTCTTGGAGTTATTAATTATTTGCAGTAAGTACTGACTCCTGATTAATACATTCTCGCCACTCAGCGTTACTCGTTGTTGACGGGTCTTCGACAAGGCGAAGTCATTGCGCCCTCCGGTGACGATACTCGGTCACAGAGTCCCCTTTACTGGCACCTTAATCATTACTGTGCTAGTTTCTTAATATCAAATTTTAGGATCAATCTAGCTGGCAGTATAAAAGACGCACCTCAGAGCAGGTGTGGCACTCGTGAATAGAATTTCGTTCACCCTGACCGGCTCATTGACAACTTGTAGAACAAGCAAATAAACGCTGGTTATCAACGAGTTGACCTACAAAATTATACTGCATTTAATCGCAGAGTAGAACCAAAGTAAATAACATACACCTCACCCTCTCGAAAGGTTTAGATAAGTCGATAGATATCGGTGGCTCAGGACCGTGTGGATTTCTATAGGAAATTAGATTTTGGTATAAAGTTTAGGATATCGTTAGGGAGGATTTTGGCTAGGACACAAACAATAAGGTCAAGGTCAAAGTCATGCTACTTCTATATTCTTTCCCAATAATATGGCGGATGATGAATCTTCTACACGTTAGTATAAACTACTACCGATTGACTTGATTAAGGTCGTATTTACGTTCCAAGTGCTGGTTAGTTTAAAACAGTACTTTTCTAAACTCTTAATGTCCATCAACCGCTTATCTTACACTTAAACTGTTAATTAATTACTAATAACTTTAGGAAATTTTATGATCCTTATAGCTTGAAATCCTAGCATTCTTGCTTTAGTTCCAGGCTCTTTTAAGCGCTCAACTTTGGCCAGCCAACCAAGGCAAGCCAAAAGTGGGGAATTAAAAACTCCCTTGAAAAACTCCCGGGAGGTAACGGGGTGAAGAATTCATTTACGCTGCCGCTACACGGCAAACGAATTATCGTTCTCTTTTTATCGTTGAAGTTTTTAATGCAAGAAAACCTATGTTATGTTAACCCCTTTTTTGTTTCTTTTTCATATTTTTAGTGCATATCTGCGCTACTTATTTTTAGTTTAAATGTGATATTGAACGGATACGGTACCCTCAGTGTTTAAATCATCCATGCACTTGATCGGTTTTGTGATGGAATTAGCCCTCACATGGACAGAGATTTTTATTAACAGCGCTCCCACTTTAAAATGATATAAAAAAACCGTGTAAGTGACATTGACACAATTTTATTTCATTTTAAAGAAAATTCAATGACATTATGTATGAAATATAATTTCAACCAAATAGCCGCCGCGATTTCTTTGTAGGTGGTATAATCCTGGTGAACAAATTTTGGATGAAATCTTCGCATAAATGGGGCTCATAACGTGAGTTATGTTGGTCTTCAAGTTGGCAATTATATGTAGACCAGAGATTTCACGTAACCCCACAGAAAGTAGTCGAACGGTGTTAAGTCACACGATCTCTGTGGCCAGTTGATGTCGCCACCACGCCAGATGGGGAAGTCCTCGAACTTATGATTCAAGAAATTCAATATTTCCCGTGTAATATGGCAAGTTGCGCCATATGAAAAATACATGTTTGTCACATCCTAGGCCACAAAAAAATTGTTATCATCGTCCGATATCGATCGCCATTGACAGTGAGCGCGGTTTCTTGCACATCTTCGAAGATGGGATGTCGGACCAAAATCCACACTAAAAAGTGACTTTTTTGGAGTGTAAAGGCACCTGATGAATTTCCGTGAATTTTCGTCGCTCCAAATCCGGCAATTTTGTTTGGTAACAAACTCACTCAACCAGAAATGAGCCCCATAATTGATGATGATTTTTTTAACGAAAGCAGGGTCAGCCGCTAAATGCTCCAAAGTCAATCAGCGAATACACGGCACTGTCTGTGGTCGTTGTATTTTAGTTCTTGAGTTAATTGAACTTTGTGTGGATGAAAACCTAAGTCTCGACGCAAAATCCGCCAAGTTGATGTCGCTGAAAGATCTATCTCTTGCTCACGACGCGGAATTGACTGTCTGGGGTTTTGTCGCACACTGTTCCAAACGGCAACAATATTCTTCAACGATGTTGCGTTTTCTTGACGTAATGGCACTGCTTCGTCGATCACCCTCCGGTTGTGTCTTTATTCATTATTCTATGGACTGCTGACTCTGCACTACGGCCATGAATGCCGAAAGTTGGACGCAACGCACGGAACGTTAGGCGAACAGAGCACTGATTTTCATAATCTAGACACGCGGTAGCGTGTCAAGCCAAGTTCAAGCAGAACGGCGAGCCGCACCGTGTGTAATATTACACGAACCATTTGGGGCCACTTTTGACCCCCCTCATAACTCAAAAACTATTTCACATAAACGTTTCAAATATGGCACATATATTGAGACTTGCAAGATATATACGTATTTCCAATTTCGTAAACACATCTCAAACGGTTATTTAGACGACTCCGTGGCGCAGTGGCTTAGCAACGAGTGGCTGCGCTGGGGGTCGCGGGTTCGAATCCCGCACGGAACAAGTATTTATATGACCTACAAATAATTGTTCCGGGTCTGGATGTTTGTCCTTGTGCAATTTATGTTTGTAAACTGCCCCCACGATACAGGAGAAAATCCTAGTGTAGGGGTAACGTTTTTAAAAAATGATGATGATGATGATGATAGATATTAACGTCTAAAAATCGTTTTTATCACTGACCGACCTATAGATCAAAACACTAACCCAGTTCCAGATGGCCTAGAAAGTTAAAATTTGGCATGCAGATAGATAATTAGGTGAATACAAAGGAATAAATCAGAAACTGATAAATTTTTATCATTTTATTATAATTTTTCACTTATTTGATTCTATTAGAAACATGTACACAGCGCGCGGTACGCCGCTGGAGGAGCGGGGTGGGAGCGGTGCGATAAAACCTTGACGCGAACGTGTCCGAGGTCTGAGCGAGCGGCAGGTGGCACTGGCAGCAGCGCTCATAAACGCGAGCGCCGTTTTGCTGTCCGGTTGTCTTTCGATATCTGACCTATGAGGTAGCGATTTATGCTACAAAATTAATAGGTTTTCTTAAAAAATTCTTATTTATTTGTGGTTACATTATTATTACAATTCTTTTATTAAGTACGTACCTCGTGTCTAGATGGTATAGGAAATAGTTTAAATCAAAAATTAATAATAATTTTAGTATAGTTATAAGTAGGTATGTATACCTAACTCTGAATGAGTGAGAATGATACTTTATTGGTATGGTAACAAATTTTCTTGAGAATTCAATAGATAACAGGTAATTTGTTATTTAATCGTCTTAAATAATTATCTTTTTATTACGTATATTGTACAATGAGTCGTACAATAGAATTACGGGTGGGTGACACACTTACTTTACACCGAATTATTCTAGTGTATATGTTCACACGGAATAATTCCCTATTTGTTTAGCATATGTTATTACTATCTACAAATTACAAGGCCTTAGCCTTGACAGTGCTTTTCTCGACATATGCTCCTCTATATTTAGTAGAGGGCAGGCTTACGTTGGACTCTTTAGAGCTAAAACCTTAGATGGAATACATCTTGATTTCTTATATTTACGCGAACACCACACATTGATTAAAATTGGAATGGAATTAAAAAAAAGTAAAATGTGGAGTACATCTTATCAATTTAGATCCAAGTCAAATCAAGCCACAAGAGAGCTCTATTGTAGAGTACAACCGTCTGCGCACGTTATACCACCCCGACTTGGCCAAATTAAGTATAAAAAGAAAATGCGTAAAAAAATCCCGGATACTGAATTGGCAATTCACTTATAACATATCAAAGGTACAAGAAAATATAGAAAATAACACAAAAAGACAATTATACCCCGTAAACGAAGAAAATACTGCAGTTTAACAAAAACCATTTGGTATTAATTTTGTTATAAATAAGTACCTACTAATAATTTATGTACAAAAAGTTGTGATATCCCATCAAAAACATAAATGTGAAATGAGAGCCAAGTTCAATATTATGATATGTGCCTTGGTTGTTGACTTCAACGACAAAAGAAGTGAGATCTAAATGGGTGCCAAGTTCAATGGTCAGCCCTGAAATTTATTTATAACAACATAAAATATCGTTTTTTCTTATAGCTAGGATAATAATATACTGTAGCCTAAGGTCTGATTTGGCTAGGTTTCATATACGAATTATATTATAGCCTTTGCAAGTTCTAAACCTGTTACTTGTCTGTTCTTATTTTATTATTCCGAAAATTTGGCTTGCTGGTAAAATTTAGCCATCGAACATGATAATTCATATATGAAAACTAGCCAAGTCAGACCTCAGGCTACAATATATTATCCTAAGTTATAAGAAGAAACGATATTTTATGTCGTTAGAAATAAATTTCAGGGCTGACTATTGAACTTGGCACCCATTTAGATCTCACTTCCTTTGTCGTTGAAGTCAACAACCAAGGCACATATTATCATAATATTGAACTTGGCTCTCATTTCACATTTATGTTTTTGATGGGATTTGACATTTTAACTATTTCAACACGTTGTTGAAGCCTGTAGCATTCCATGGTGAAATTTCGAGAATAAATAAGTATTCTTGTCAAATTTGACAGCTATCGCTAGACCAAGATGGCCGCTATACGTTGTCAAAGTTCAAGTGTTGAAAAACCCTTTATAAAAATATCAATACCATTACTGTTGGAGTTGGGACAGTTGTGTAGTTTATAAAATATGATCAATCAGGCCCAGAACTAGACTAGAACTTCATTACAAAGTAGTAACATAAAGAAAAAGAAGTGTCTGAATGTAATATTGAAATATCTGCCTTCTATTAAGTTCCGGGGCATTTCCATGTGATTAAGACATGAATAACCATTTTTGAATTTTTGTTTGATGTCTGTATGCCCAGGTTTATTTTAGGAATGCCGGAACCGATCCTGATGAACTTTACGAACAGATAATTAGAGCTATGCCAAGAGTGATCAAGGTTATATTTTATCCAAAAATCTTAGTGACTTTTTTGTGAAAACGAAA